TGAGACCCCACGGGGGGGCAGGCGGGAGGGGGGGGTCCCCACCACCCCCTTTCCTTACCGCAGCACCCCGTCCCGCACGCTGTGGGTGGGGGGCAGCTCCCCCCCGTCCTTCAGCCACTCCAGACGTGCCCGGGGGTCCCCAGAGACGGCGCAGGCGAATTCGGCGGTGCCACCCACCCCCATCACCAGGCTCCCCGGTGTCACCCGGACGGCCAAGGGACCGCTGCCACCATCCTGGCTGTCCCCAGCGTCACCTGGGTGGGACACAAAGCACCTGATGGCACCTGGAGGTGGGGGGCATCCACGGCACCTCCAGTTTCCAGGGCTGGGGGGGTTGTCTCACCATGGACGGCCACGCGGGCGAAGGTCTCGGCGGTGCCGACGCGGTTGGTGACGAGGCAGCGGTAGGTGCCGGCGTCGGCGGGCAACACCGGGCTGATGCGGAGGAGGCCGGCGCGGTGGAGGACGCGCGCCGAGAGGCTGCCGTTGACCTTGTCCCACGCGTAGTGCAGTGGGGGGGTGCCGTGGGCCAGGCACTGCACCTGCAGCGCGTCACCGGCGCGCACTGCGGTGTCCTCCGGTAGGCTGGTGGCGTAGGGTGGTGCTGCGGGGACATTTGGTACCCTCAACGCCCGGATGCAGCAATGGACGGTCAATGGGTCAATGGATGGGTCAACGGTGGGAAGGTGTGGGTGGAGATGGAGGTGGGTGTGTGTTGGAGTGGACCAGAGATGGATGTATCCATGAGGAAGAGATGGATGGAGAAGTTTGAGAGAAGATGGAGAGATGGGCCTGTGCTGGGATGGACCAGAGGTGGACAGATCCATGGGGGAAGGGATGGATGGAGGGGTGTGAATGGAGATGGAGAGGTGGAGGCAAGCTGGGATGGTTGAGTGATGGATTAATCCACAAGGAAGAGATGGATGGATAGATGGATGGATGGATGGATGGATGAGTTTGAAAGGAGCTGAAGAGATAGGCACATGATGGGATTTCACTGAATTTCACTGAATTTCTAGAGTTGGAAGGGACCATAGAGATCATCTAGTCCAACCCCCCTGCTGAAGCAGGATTGCCTAGAGCTAGAGCATGTTACTCAGGAGCATCCAGGCGGGTTTTGAAAATCTCCAAAGAAGGGGACTCCACAACCTCCCTGGGCAGCCTGTTCCAGGGCTCCGTCACCCTCACCATGAAGAAGTTTTTCCTCATATTTGAGTGGAACCTCTTATGTTCCAACTTGTGCCCGTTGCCCCTTGTCCTGTCACTGGAAACCACTGAAAAGAGTCTGGCTCCCTCCTCCTTCAACCCTCCCTTGAGATACTTGTAGGGATTAATGAGATGGACAGAATTCACAAGGAAGGGATGGATGGAGGGGTGTGAGAGGAGATGGAGACATGGGTGTGTACTGGGATGGCCCAGAGATCAACCCTCCCTTGAGATACTTGTAGGGATTAATGAGATGGACAGAATTCACAAGGAAGGGATGGATGGAGGGGTGTGAGAGGAGATGGAGACATGGGTGTGTACTGGGATGGCCCAGAGATGGACAGATCCATGGGGGAAGGGATGGATGGAGGGGTGTGAATGGAGATGGAGAGGTGGATGTGAGCTGGGATGGTTGAGTGATGGATTAATCCACAAGGAAGAGATGGATGGATGGATGGACAGATGGATGAGTTTGAAAGGAGATGAAGAGATAGGCACGTGCTGGGATGAATGAGATGGATGGAATTCACGAGGAAAGATGGATGGATGGATGGATGGATGAGTTTGAAAGGAGCTGAAGAGATAGGCACATGATGGGATTTCACTGAATTTCACTGAATTTCTAGAGTTGGAAGGGACCATAGAGATCATCTAGTCCAACCCCCCTGCTGAAGCAGGATTGCCCAGAGCTAGAGCATGTTACTCAGGAGCATCCAGGCGGGTTTTGAAAATCTCCAAAGAAGGGGACTCCACAACCTCCCTGGGCAGCCTGTTCCAGGGCTCCGTCACCCTCACCATGAAGAAGTTTTTCCTCAGATTTGAGTGGAACCTCTTATGTTCCAACTTGTGCCCGTTGCCCCTTGTCCTGTCACTGGAAACCACTGAAAAGAGTCTGGCTCCCTCCTCCTTCAACCCTCCCTTGAGATACTTGTAGGGATTAATGAGATGGACAGAATTCACAAGGAAGGGATGGATGGAGGGGTGTGAGAGGAGATGGAGACATGGGTGTGTACTGGGATGGCCCAGAGATGGACAGATCCATGGGGGAAGGGATGGATGGAGGGGTGTGAATGGAGATGGAGAGGTGGATGTGAGCTGGGATGGTTGAGTGATGGATTAATCCACAAGGAAGAGATGGATGGATGGATGGACAGATGGATGAGTTTGAAAGGAGATGAAGAGATAGGCACGTGCTGGGATGAATGAGATGGATGGAATTCACGAGGAAGGGATGGATGGAGGGGTGTGAGGGGAGATGGAGACATGGGTGTGTGCTGGGATGGATAAGATGGATGAATCCACAAGGAAGGGAGGGATGGAGAAGTTAGGAGATAAAAAGATGAGCATATCCTGGGCTGGATGAGTGGTAGATGAATCCACCAGGAAGGGGAGGATGAAGGGGTGTGAGAGGAGATGTCAAGGTGAATGTGAGCTGGGATGGATGAATCCACCAGGAAGGAGAGGATGGAGGGGTGTGAGAAGAGATGGCGAGGTGGATGTGAGCTGGGATGGTTGAGTGATGGGTGAATCGACTAGGAAGGAGTGGAGGGAGGAGATGGGAGAAGAATAGATGGGCACGTGCTGGGGTGGATGCGTGGTAGATGAATCCACCAGGAAGGGGAAGATGGAGGGGTGTGAGAGGTGGATGTGAGCTGAGATGGATGAGACAGAAGAATCCACAAGGAAGAGAGGGATGGAGAAGTTAGGAGATAAAAAGATGAGCATATCCTGGGCTGGATGAGTGGTAGATGAATCCACCAGGAAGGGGAGGATGAAGGGGTGTGAGAGAAGATATCAAGGTGAATGTGAGCCGGGATGGGTGAATTCACCAGGAAGATGTGGATGGAGGTGCATGAGAGGCAATGGTGAGGTGGATGTGAGCTGGGATGGATGAATCCACCAGGAAGGGGAGGATGGAGGGGTGTGAGAAGAGATGGCGAGGTGGATATGAGCTGGGATGGTTGAGTGATGGGTGAATCCACCAGGAAGGAGTGGAGGGAGGTGTTTGAGAGGAGATGGAGAGATGGGTGTGTGCTGGGATGGATGAATCCACAAGGAAGGGATGGATGGAGGAGATGGGAGAAGAATAGATGGGCACATGCTGGGGTGGATGAATCCACCAGGAAGGGGAAGATGGAGAGGTGTTAAGAGGCGGGTATGAGCTGAGATGGATGAGATGGATGAATCCACCAGGAAAAGATGGATGGAGGGGTGTGGGAGGAGATGGGTGTGAGCTGGGATGGATGAGCGATGGATAGATCCATTAATAGGGGGATGGATGGAAGAGAGAGCAGAAGTAGATGGGATGGGACAGCAGATGGACACATCCACAGGAAGGGCTGGATGATGGAGCCTGAGAGGAGTTGGAGAGGAGGATGAGTGCCGGGATGAAGCAAAGATGGATCCAGGAGCGAGGGTGGGAGCGGCGATGGAGATGGCCACGTGCAGAGGAAGGATGGAGAGGAGCCAAGGATGGGTGATGGCAACAGCGGGGGAGGAGGAGACAGTGGAGATGGCAGGAGGGACCCAGGAGCACCCCAACCCCCCGTGACCCTCTTACTCTCCACGTCGAGGGTGACGAAGACCTCGGCAGAGCCGGCGGGGCTACTGGCGTTGCAGATGTACTGTCCCGAGTCCTGCTGCGCGGCGCGGGGGATGACCAAGCTGCCGTTGACCACCCGGTGCTGCCAGGGCAGGGGCGCCCGCAGCTTCGACCACTCGATGTGGGGTGAGGGCTCACCTACGGGCAACAACGGTGACCGTCACCGCGGCGTCGGGCCACCCCCTTTCTCCATCACCATCCTCCATCCCCCCCCGTACCTCTGGCTGTGCAGTGCAGCGTGGCGGTGTCCCCGGCCACCACGGTGACGGAGGGCGGCGCGGTGACCTCGGGGGCACCAGGGTGCCGCTGTGCCGTCTCCACGCTGATGTCCACCCGGGCCTGTGCTGAACCCAAGGCGCTGTGTGCGGTGCAGACGTAGGTCCCGGCGTGCTCCGGCTTGGCCGGCGAGAGCTGGTGGTGGTGGTGGTGGTGGGGTCAGGGTGGGTGGTGAGCACTGGGCGCCCACCGGTGCCCCGTGGCACCCCGGGGTGCCCTGCTCACCTGCAGGATGGCCTGGCTGTCCATGTGCAGCAGCGTTTGGTGCTCCACCTTCTGCCGGGAGCCCGGACGGCTCCACCGCACCAGTGGCCGTGGTTCGCCCCGGCCAAGGCACTCCACGCTGAGGGATTTGCCCTCCTTCACCGTCACGGGGCCTGGAGGCATCACCGACACCGTGGGGGCACCTGGAGAAGGGGGAGGACATCAGCATGGGGATGGGGACACCACCACTAAGGATGTTGGCATGGCCATGGGGACACCATCTCACCCTGGGGGCATCTGGTGCACGGGGAGGACATCGGTATGGGGATGGGGACACCACCAGCCCAGGAACACATCAAGACATGGGGATGGGGACATCACCACTAAGGATGTTGGCATGGCCATGGGGACACCATCACCCTGGGGGCATTTGGTGCAGGGGGAGGATATCAGTATGGGGATGGGGACACCACCACTCCAGGAGGATATGGAGGACATGGGGATGGGGACATCACCACTCCAGGGGTGCCTGAAGCATAGAGAGGACATAGGGATTGGGACACCACCACTAAGGATGTTGGCATGGCCATGGGGACACCATCACTCTGGGGGCATCTGGTGCACGGGGAGGACATCGGTATGGGGATGAGGACACCATGGGGAGGACATCAGCATGGGGACAAGGACACCACCACCCTGGGAGCATAGAGAGGACATGGGGATGGGGACACCACTACTAAGGATGTTGGCATGGCCATGGGGACACCATCACCCTGGGGGCATCTGGTACACGGGGAGGACATTGGTATGGGGATGGGACACCATCAACCCAGGAACATATCAAGACATGGGGATGGGGACATCATCACTAAGGATGTTGGCATGGCAATGGGGACACCATCACCTTGAGGGCATTTGGTGCATGGGGAGGACATCAGCATGGGGACAAGGACACCACCACCCTGGGAGCATAGAGAGGACATGGGGATGGGGACACCATCAACCCAGGGGCATATGGAGGACATGGGGATGGGGACATCACCACTCTAGGGGTGCCTGAAGCATAGAGAGGACATGGGGATGGGTACACCACCACTAAGGATGTTGGCATGGCAATGGAGACACCATCACCCTGAGGGTGTCTGGTGCATGGGGAGGACATCAGCATGGGGATGAAGATGCCACCACCCTGGGAGCATAGAGAAGACATGGGGATGGGGACACCACCACTCCAGGGGCACATGAAGCATAGAGAGGACATGGGGATGGGGACACCACCACTAAGGATGTTGGCATGGCAATGGGGACACCATCACCTTGAGGGCATTTGGTGCATGGGGAGGACATCAGCATGGGGACAAGGACACCACCACCCTGGGAGCATAGAGAGGACATGGGGATGGGGACACCACTACTAAGGATGTTGGCATGGCCATGGGGACACCATCACCCTGGGGGCATCTGGTACACGGGGAGGACATTGGTATGGGGATGGGACACCATCAACCCAGGAACATATCAAGACATGGGGATGGGGACATCATCACTAAGGATGTTGGCATGGCAATGGGGACACCATCACCCTGATGGTATTTGGTGCATGGGGAGGACATCGGTATGGGGATGGGGACATCACCACTCCAGGGGCGCCTGAAGCATAGAGGACATGGGGATGGGGACACCACCACTAAGGATGTTGGCATGGCCATGGGGACACCATTATCCTGGAGGTGTCTGGTGCATGGAGAGGACATCAGCATGGGGATGAGGACACCATCACCCCGGGAGCATAGAGAGGACATGGGGATGGGGACACCACCACTCCAGGGGCACCTGAAGCATAGAGGACATGGGGATGGGGACACCACCACTAAGGATGTTGGCATGGCCATGGGGACACCATCACCCTGGGGGCATTTGGTGCATAGGGAAGACATCGGTATGGGGATGGGGACACCACCAGCCCAGGAACACATCAAGACATGGGGATGGGGACATCACCACTAAGGATGTTGGCATGGCCATGGGGACACCATCACCCTGGGGGCATTTGGTGCAGGGGGAGGATATCAGTATGGGGATGGGGACACCACCACTCCAGGAGGATATGGAGGACATGGGGATGGGGACATCACCACTCTAGGGGTGCCTGAAGCATAGAGAGGACATGGGGATGGGTACACCACCACTAAGGATGTTGGCATGGCAATGGAGACACCATCACCCTGAGGGTGTCTGGTGCATGGGGAGGACATCAGCATGGGGATGAAGATGCCACCACCCTGGGAGCATAGAGAAGACATGGGGATGGGGACACCACCACTCCAGGGGCACATGAAGCATAGAGAGGACATGGGGATGGGGACACCACCACTAAGGATGTTGGCATGGCAATGGGGACACCATCACCTTGAGGGCATTTGGTGCATGGGGAGGACATCAGCATGGGGACAAGGACACCACCACCCTGGGAGCATAGAGAGGACATGGGGATGGGGACACCACTACTAAGGATGTTGGCATGGCCATGGGGACACCATCACCCTGGGGGCATCTGGTACACGGGGAGGACATTGGTATGGGGATGGGACACCATCAACCCAGGAACATATCAAGACATGGGGATGGGGACATCATCACTAAGGATGTTGGCATGGCAATGGGGACACCATCACCCTGATGGTATTTGGTGCATGGGGAGGACATCGGTATGGGGATGGGGACATCACCACTCCAGGGGCGCCTGAAGCATAGAGGACATGGGGATGGGGACACCACCACTAAGGATGTTGGCATGGCCATGGGGACACCATTATCCTGGAGGTGTCTGGTGCATGGAGAGGACATCAGCATGGGGATGAGGACACCATCACCCCGGGAGCATAGAGAGGACATGGGGATGGGGACACCACCACTCCAGGGGCACCTGAAGCATAGAGGACATGGGGATGGGGACACCACCACTAAGGATGTTGGCATGGCCATGGGGACACCATCACCCTGGGGGCATTTGGTGCAGGGGGAGGATATCAGTATGGGGATGGGGACACCACCACTCCAGGAGGATATGGAGGACATGGGGATGGGGACATCACCACTCCAGGGGTGCCTGAAGCATAGAGAGGACATAGGGATTGGGACACCACCACTAAGGATGTTGGCATGGCAATGGAGACACCATCACCCTGAGGGTGTCTGGTGCATGGGGAGGACATCAGCATGGGGATGAAGATGCCACCACCCTGGGAGCATAGAGAAGACATGGGGATGGGGACACCACCACTCCAGGGGCACATGAAGCATAGAGAGGACATGGGGATGGGGACACCACCACTAAGGATGTTGGCATGGCCATGGGGACACCATCACCCTGGGGGCATTTGGTGCAGGGGGAGGATATCAGTATGGGGATGGGGACACCACCACTCCAGGAGGATATGGAGGACATGGGGATGGGGACATCACCACTCCAGGGGTGCCTGAAGCATAGAGAGGACATAGGGATTGGGACACCACCACTAAGGATGTTGGCATGGCAATGGGGACACCATCACCTTGAGGGCATTTGGTGCATGGGGAGGACATCAGCATGGGGACAAGGACACCACCACCCTGGGAGCATAGAGAGGACATGGGGATGGGGACACCACTACTAAGGATGTTGGCATGGCCATGGGGACACCATCACCCTGGGGGCATCTGGTACACGGGGAGGACATTGGTATGGGGATGGGACACCATCAACCCAGGAACATATCAAGACATGGGGATGGGGACATCATCACTAAGGATGTTGGCATGGCAATGGGGACACCATCACCCTGATGGTATTTGGTGCATGGGGAGGACATCGGTATGGGGATGGGGACATCACCACTAAGGATGTTGGCATGGCCATGGGGACACCATTATCCTGGAGGTGTCTGGTGCATGGAGAGGACATCAGCATGGGGATGAGGACACCATCACCCCGGGAGCATAGAGAGGACATGGGGATGGGGACACCACCACTCCAGGGGCACCTGAAGCATAGAGGACATGGGGATGGGGACACCACCACTAAGGATGTTGGCATGGCCATGGGGACACCATCACCCTGGGGGCATTTGGTGCATAGGGAAGACATCGGTATGGGGATGGGGACACCACCACTCCAGGAGCACCTGAAGCATGGAGAGGAGGCGGGGATGGGGACACCACTACACTGGGAGGACCCAGAGCATGTGGGGGATGTCAAGACAGGGATGGTGATGGGGAGGGGCAGCACCAAAAGAGGGGCACATGGAGCACATGGGGATGGGGACACCACCACCCCAGGGGCACCTGGAGCACATGTGGACAGGGACAGGGCCTCTCTGGCCACCTCGCACCTTGCACCAGGAGGTTGACAACGCTGCTGGCGACGCCGAAGCGGTTGGAGGCCACACAGTGGTAGGCGCCCTGGTTGCCCACGTGGGCACCGGTGATGGAGATGACTGAGCCATTGGTGCTGATCTTCACGTTGTCTGGGCAAGGAGGAGCCGTTAACACCAGGGCCACCCTGGGGACCACGCCAGGGCCACGCTGGGGACCACCATACCTTGGAGATGTTGGCCAGGTCCCATCCGCCAGGTGATGTTGATGGGCCGGGCACCATCGTGGACACGGCACTTGAAGGTGGCATCCTCACCCGGTGCCACCGCCATGCTGTGCGGGTCGATGGAGATGATGGGGCTCTGCAGACCTGTGGGGACAAAGGGACAGGGAAGCCACCAACATCACCCATGGACCCCATCTTCCCTCAGCATCCTCTGTCGCCCAGTAGCTGGACTCACGGTAGCTGGAACTGTCACGGGAGGTGATGGTGACAGTGATGGTGGCCTCACGGGAGACGCTGCCCATGTCCGCCCGGCACACGTACTCCCCCGAATCGGCCACCGAGAGCTGTGACAGCCGCAGGCGGGACCCCGAAATCTGGGGACACGATGGCAGGAGGTGGTGGCATCCACCAGCCACCCACGGCCACCGTCCCTCACCCTGCTGGTGTCCCCACCTACCTGGTGCTTGGGCGGGAGGGACCCACCGCGCTTGTACCAGGTGATGGTGGCCTGTCCCTGGCCGGCCACCAGGCAGTCGAGGTCCAGGGTCTGTCCCTCGGTGACAGAGGACGCTGAGGACTCGATGCGGATGGGCGGTGTGACACCGGTGGCTGCAGGGGCACAATTAAGAGTAGATGTCCCCACTGGTCCCC